TTTTTTTTTTCATTGATTTATAATTAATCGTTGTCATCTCCACTTCTTGACTTTTAATCTGATTTTTCACCCCACTTTTCCCTTAAACATCCGATGAACATTTTTTGATTTAACGGCCTAATAGTTGATACCATAAAGTATAACTGGTCTAATAATATTTGGAACTTTTCTTTTAACCATTTGGATATCTTCTTATCCTTTGAAGAACCGATACTCCTCCTAGGGTGAAGTGTCAGTGACCGACTTGCATTGAACACTCGCAATGATTGGACACTTGTCTGTCACACCACATGGCCCGTGTCATATTTTTTAATATATTAGTTCTAAATATTATCGTAGAAGGAAAACACTTTGCTAACATCTTCAAGTGATCAGCATAATTCACACTGTCTGGAACAATGGTTGTTTTAGTCAGTTAGTATGTGCATTTTCTGGCTTTGGTCAAATCTCACTAGTATTTGAAGCCTTCTAAGCAAACAGATTAATTACTTTTCTGCAACTAATGGGTATGAATACTCATTATAATGCAGGTTGTTTTCACCATTGATTGTGATTTTCTTTTAGTGCTGCAGTTCATTTAAGTGAAGGATTACTGTAGATTTTGGTAGAACTGATGGGTTTTGTCATGATAATTAGTCTTTTGTTTCAATTGCAGGTTAAAGCTCTGATTTCTAAGTTGAGTGAGGAGAAAAATACTGCAATTCAGCAAAATAACAAGCTTAAGCAAGAAGTGGTTAGCCCTTTCTATTGGAAAATGTCTTATGCTGTCTTATTTTGTTTCCTGTGCTCGTTGATTCTTTTTATTTGCGGGATAGTGTTAACATGAACTTCTTGAGTTAACCCACCCACCCTCTCCCCCATTTAGCCCAAAGGATAAAATATAAAAATTGGACCTTGCTATCTTTCCTCTTCTAGAAAAAAATATCAATATCAATTTCTGTGACCCGATTCCTGCTCAATTGTTCTGTATTTTTCTTAATAATACTCTGGGTATCCGAATGAATACGAGAAAAATGATGCATAGGATTGATTAACAAAACATGCTCTGTAGCCATTCTACTCAAAATTACAGACTCATCTTTTCATCTCTTCTATCAGATACCTCGTCCATTAGTAGTACTTTTACTCTTAAAAATACCATTTGCAATTTTTAAAGGTCTCAGAAAATGAAATGTAGACGCCAGATGTGACACCGAATTCGTGCATGTTTAGAGTTAGATCAATAATTGAGATTTAGATATTAAATTGTGATTTTTATGGTCAAAAGGTGCAGTAAGTGTACTTCTAAAAGTTACCTTAGCTTTTGTAAATCTTAGATTGATAATTGCAGTTAAACAGCGTTAATCATCATGATTTTTATGGTCAAAAGGTGCACTAAGTGTACTTCTAAAAGTTACCTTAGCTTGTGTAAATTTTTAGATTGAGAAATGCAGTTAAATAGCGTTGCATCATCATTTGACACGACATAAGATTATCATTCAGATGTTTGCCACTTTGTTGTCGTACTAGTCGTTTTCATCCTCCAAGATGTATTTTAGTTAGAGGTAATTAGTGTTTTCATAATACTTGTCAAATTAAAGCTGAAGTGGCAACACTAATTGTTTTGGACCATATAAATTTAGTAAACACCAAGGAAATTGTTTCTTTCTTTACATGGTTTTCCTTTTGGTGGAGGGAGATTCCGACTTCTCGATTCGGAAGGCAGGGTGATTCAAATTGAGCCATTGGCTCTATGACAGCGTTCATATATCTTGAAATAGAAGTCCCTTTTAAATTATGATCCAACTATACATGTTCTTACCACGTGCAGGAGCTCTTGAGGCGTCAAGGTAACCGGAGCCATGGAGGCATCCCATTCATCTATGTTATTATTGTTGGCTTGATTGGCATCCTTTTGGGGTATCTTCTGAAGAGAACATGAATAACATTACAATCAAGTCATCGTCCAACTGTGAAAAAAAATGTTTTTAAGACATTGAAGTCAAATATGTGACGGATTGAGAAGAGCTTTGTATTCTATTTGGTTGTTTCGTTGACAGCAGGGACAAATGCTGACATGGGTTTTGACGGGTTCCGTAATTCACTTTGATGAGGAGGCTTCAAGAGCATTGATTATGTGACTAATTGCTTTTATATGTTCATTTCTTTAACTTGTGAACATTATTTATTCAACTAGCCTAATTTTCCTCTTGATTTTCTTGTTCCAGTTATTGGACAATTATGTGTTCTGTTCTTTAATTTCTTTTAGGCTAAATTACTGTCCAAATATTTTATTTATTTATTTATTTTGGTTAAGATTCGACAGGACTGAACATGATAATTAACAAGTTTTATCTTATTCTTCGGCCCAGTTTGAGCATGGGCTTGTACTTTAAATGACCGTGGATGCTATTTTCTGAAAGGTAGATTGCTAGTTCGCTAAAATTTGGAAAAGAGTTATGAAAGTTTCTTGAAGATTTCAACTCAGAATTAAATAGGGATTGGTATTTTTAGGGGCAATGCTACACGTATCGAATTTTTTTATCGAATATTTCACCTACTATTCACGTCAGGGGTGGGGACCACTGGCCAGCACTTTTAAATTCACATAGGGTTAGCCATACATTGTGAGAGGAGGAACACTATTTGATACCTCCATTATGTACAAATGGAATTTTTCTATTTTTATATGGAACCTCCTTACTTGAACTAGAATTTGATCAAAACTTCAGTTTGAGGCGAAATCAGTCTCATTCTGGATCTTAGAATTGAGAATCGAATGTTTCTACTAATTCTTGGTTTTATTACAAAACCAAATTTTCGTTCGATTTCAAATTTATATTTTCATATTCACAGTCAAAAATTGACTTATATAAATTCGTATGTTTCCAAAATAATTGAGTCTTAATTGTTTAAAACATAAACCATAAAATTGAATAAGACAATTTACTCATCTTAATTCTTTAACATTGTTGTAAATGGTAAGTTTATTATTAAATAACAAATGTTCTCTCTCAGCTCTGGAAATTATTATTATCGTATGCCTAATTCTTCCATATACGTATACAGGACCTTGGTTCTTAATAAAATACATACAAATCCATTGTCTTTCTCTATTTTGTTGTCTTTTTCCACTTTTCATAACACGTAATCAGTATGATAACTTTATTTCAAAGTTCAGTGAATATAGTAAATTTTTATAAGTATAAATATTTATCACGTGTATCAAAATTAATTTGGTGACATGTGAATTTTTCTACATACATATATGTCAAAACGAGGCTGCTTCTTCTTCTACCTCTTCTATGCTTTTTTTAATTGTAAGCAAATCTATAATGATTATTTCATTATATGCATAATGATTACTTTGTTCTATTTGCATGTCATTATATAAAGTCAATTCATATACATATTTGGAATATTTTTTTACTTATACATTTTTGGTAATTAATTTTTTTATATAAATTCATATCATATCTATATGCTAATTAAATATTTTTAGATGTTCTTCGATAAACTTTAAATTAACAATTTCTCATGGTATTACTCCTGAAGTGTCACAACATTATAATCAATATTCCATATGAATAGTATGTTTATTGTTCTTGAAGAGCGTAATATTATTTTCAATACTTTAGAAGAATACTGATTTATTGCCTTTGAAGAAGTAAAAATAAAATATAACGCGTTCTCAAAATAGCATATATCTCAAGTAATATATATTTCATTGTGTTCTTGAAGAAACACAAATCAAAAAACTCAATATTGAATTAATTTTTAAAGAAAACTAATTTTCTATATTATTAATATTTAAGAAGAATATAAATTTGTCGCTCTTGAAGAGCATGAATTATAATTTTTAATATTCTAAAAGAATATTGACCTATTGCTCTTGAAGAAACAATAATTAAACACAATGTGCTCTCGAAGTAGTACATTTTTTAAGAATATATCATTTTAAATTCAAGTTTATCCATAAAGGAAAACATATGACTAATGTCATAGTAATCTAATTAGTTTGACTATTTCAATTATGTATGATTATCTAAGCTTTAATCGTATTCTTCAAAATTAAATCATTGAATTATATCTTAAATTAAACTAGAAGTTCAATTTGACTTTATTATTTAGCTTGATTGGTTGGATCATCACTGAATTAATAATGATGCGAAATTAAAAATTCAAATAGATATTTAATGAAGAACTAGAAGATTTTTTAATTCAATCATATAAAATGTTTATTTTCATTTATGAAAATTTTTCATCATCCATCACTAGCTAAAATAAGGATTGAATTTTCCTATATATCTGAAAAATAATTTAGGATAATGAATGGGACCCCACCATCCTCCAAGTTGATTATCTAAATATTATTTATATTTAATAGATTTGATACATATACTAGAAAATTGCACGGTGTCTGCAACTTGAAGTTTGCAAAATGACTACTTAAGTTTTAAATTACAAGCATAATTTTCAGATTATATAATCAGGAGTCTGTCTCATTAATGCTAGCGAGTATAAATATCAACATTTTAATAAGTGTATTGTGATGTCGATAAATGGTTTAACAATATTATTTTTTAAATGCCTCAAATTAATTTAATTGAGAACAAATTACTTTCCATTTCTGTTTAGGAAATTCTATTATGCATTATGCCAAAATCATATTTCTTTCTATTATAATTTGCTTATAGTCAGAGTCGAATTTTTTCATCTAATTATTTTGATAGTGCAGCATATTCAAAGTTGAACCACCACAACGCATTGAGAAGGAAAATAAAAAATGTTGAGAATAAATACGTAATTTGAATCCTTATCCTAAATGGATGATATTTCATAACACCGGAAAAAATGATTTTCAATTTGATTAGACATTTTTCTCAGCATTAGAGAAGAGAATTAAGAAGTTAAAAATAATATATAAATGCATCATCTAAATCCTTGCAAAATATTATTTGAACCTGAAGTTTGAAAGATAATTTATTCAGATGTATTTACTGATCAAATAGATAAACAATATCTCATGCAACAGTTGTAAATGCTACAACACGAATTGATATCGTATAAAGACAATTGTTGACATTATATATGATATATCTATGATACGTCTGAAGCGTGGGATGTTCGATTTCAATACAAAAAATCTTCAAATGAAGTCAAATAATTAGCAAACTAGGTCCAATTGAGGAGACATATATACTTGATGAGTATTTAAATATAACAAATTATAAAATTTCAAAAGTGGCTCAAGTACTTGAAATAATTAAACTTGAGATATCTCAATAAATTATGTCATTTTGGAAAAAGAAATATAATCAAAAAGAAAAAATTGTCGACAACCATTTTGCACATGATGTACTACATCATAGAGCAAGAAATAAAAATAAATGCTTCGAAACATATGATATATATATATATATATATAACTACAGATTATTTAAATATTTTATACGGATAATGTATATCTATTGGCATCAACTATGGTTGTCCGATCATTTGATATGAAAAATGATCAATTTTGTCCACTTGAAGATGGAGAAAAGTTTCTTAATCATGAAGTATCATATCTTAGTGCATTTGGAGCATTAATTTATGTTACAAATTATACTTGACTCTACATAGTCTTGGGGAATACACTGATTATGTGCATATTATATTCATAAAAGCATACCGTTTATTTGCGTGAAATCGAAACGTAATTTCGACTTACCAAAATAGAATTTGAGAAGTAAAACAATAATAGTTACCAAATTCGAATGCATGAATATGGATTCATCTTTTTCGATTCTTGAACGAAAGTAAGTTATTCTTTGAATCAAACCTCGCAGAACAAACATGTAAATAATGTTAATCAGTTTCTAAAATTAAATCATAATTGAGAGAAATCAAAAAATGAAGGAAGAAAGATGCAAGTGATGAATTTTTGGTCGAGGCAAGTGTTTGACACTTGGTTCTTAAGATAAATTTGCCCCGCATCGGTGCTAACGGTTTTTCGACAATCACCTCTCAAGATACAATGACCACGCCAAGCCATAGGAGCACTCCAAATGGCTTTGACCAACGAACTGGCACGGAATTCTCTCTCTACTAAGGAAATGCATGAAAATACTATGAAATTAGAAATGAGAAAATTGCAAGAGAAGAATGAATGCTCAATGCAATTGGTGTACCCAAAATCATGTCTATAGGATTCTCTTTATAGATGTAGAAAGGGTGCAAATGAAGTAGTGTGGGTCAAAACTTGCATCCTTTAAAAAAGTTGCAACACTTGACCAAAACTTGCATCATTTCGAAAAGTTGCAACACTTCATTTCTTCCAAATTTGGTCTGCAATTTCTCATTCATCCGGAATTGGTTTCGAGATTCCAAATATACCACGATGATCTACTCGACAAGTAGAATAAGTTAGTCTATTTACTTTTTTAATTTGACCATCGGATCAAGCCGAATATTTGGTTGAAATTGACAAGTAGTCATACATTTTCATTTTCCACTTTTACACACCTTTTTATTTTTCAATTTTTGGTTAATTATTTGAACCAATTCCTACAATCCCCCACATGAATGAAAATTGGGTACGCATTTGCAAATACGGTGATATAATGCAATGTAGAGAGGGTGCAAAAAAACACTGCATTAGGGAAGGTAGCTTTTGGCCTTGAACCTTCCTTAGCGAAATACTATCGGACTTACTCGGCTAATTGGTGAACGTGATGTCTTCAACCATTCAACCTTTAGTGTAAGCCAAGACAACGATGCTCACACAATGTCTTCCCTAAATCGTTCATGGTTCTCATGACTTGGTTCATTTTGGCCCTAAGCCCTTCTTGGTTATGCGAGTGTTTAAAGAATTCAAGGATTAAATAATTCTCATTGAAGCAGCCCCACTTCACACTCACATAGGTGACCTCCAATTAAGAGTATCTGCCCTACTCTACTTGACTTAATCAAGATATAGGAATCATTAAAAGATTATCTTAATCTCTTACAATTCTACAGAAAACACTTTAATATCATGGGAATGAGTTAGGAAACTATTTTCCTTAGTGCTTCATGGAATCCTCGTAACTTAATTGTCCCTTTGAACCAAGATCTTGGGATCTCCAGTGAACAAGGTAGGGTTACCATTATAAGAACTCTAACATAGTAGGCTTTACTTCATTCCCTTCGATATGCAATATTCTTGATCTCTCTTAGTAAATCTCTTTAAAGATACCACGAGTTTACACCATTGAGATCAACTGCTTAATG